TTAGCATGTGATGTCCTAGATTTTATACTATCAAACAAAAGAATTTAACATGAAATTCAATGCTACTACAAATGTGTTGGTGAGAGTGAGGTTGTTTATTTTTTTAAGTGTTTTTTTAAAAAATATATTTTTTTAAGGAAGCATTAATTTGCATGGTTTTATCTAACCTGGTAGTTGCCCCAGTATAATGACCAGGTCACGGGTCAGATGGGTTGACCCGGGTCAACCCATAAAAAATAATACAATATAACACTTATAGAAAACACCTAACTAGTTACAATACAATACTTATATAAACCAAATTTAAATTTTAAATTAACAACATAAATTTAATTCAATATTCAAAACACAAACCAAATATAAATTCTAAAATTTTAAAGCAAAACATCCAAAAGTATAAATTCTAAATCAACAACAATTCACTTCTGTTGAATGAACACATTAAATTTTTTGGTGTCTATAGAAGCAAAATTCCTATCAAATGTTGATGAAATTGAGCCAATTTTATCAATACCTAATAAAACATCAGCATGCTTCTTTGAAACTTCATCATCATAATCATCTTCAATCTCATTAACATTTATGTTATCATCATAATCATTTTCAATCTCATTAATATTTATGAAATCTACATTTCAAATACAATTGACAAATAAATATTATGTATTAAACAATACTTTGTTTTAAATAATAGTTTTCACTAAATGATCAATAATTAATTACTATTATTTAAAGTATCTTGTATGGTTATTGTTGATAGAGCTTAGTAAAAACTCTCTACTTCTTTAGTTGTTAAAATTGACGGCTCATCTTCTAATACTTAATTTTCAATGTCACAAATTATCTCAGAATTAATTGAATCATAATTTCATCCTTTCCAATAATTCCTATATATTCAAAGTGAAGGTATACACAATATAAGTATTAATAATGTTATTAGATAAGATAAAATAATATTTAAGGAATTAGAAAAAAGAAAATACTTTTGTTTCAATCTTAGATTACAATAGACGTAAACAAAGTCATTAAGCCTTTGGTGCTTCAATCTATTTCTCTTTTTAGAGTGAATATCTTCAAAGATACTCTAATTTCTCTCGCATTCCGAAGAACTACAAATTTGACTTAACACTCATGTAGCTAAATATTGTAAATTTGGAGCATTAGTTCTAAATGTCATCCACCATTCATCTATATATAAAAAAAAGTGTAAGATTATCAAATAATATTTTTAAATATAAAAATTATATACCTAAAGCATAAGGGTGTGATTATTTATTGCGAACACTCGACCAAAGTTATATTGTGCATTCCTAAACAACTTTATCTCACTTGTAATCTTACTTTGCAATGGTAGATTTTCATGTACATATTTCTCAAGGACATCTAAAAGTTTAGAAATGATGCTCATATGTTTATCTATTATATTTGCATCATATTAAAAATGAAGATTCATCCAAAATGTTGTTGCATAAAGATTTCTATATAGTTGTCCATCATATCAATTATTGATAATATCTATAAAAGGTTGCACTATAGCTTTTTTCTTTCGAAATTTCCTCAACGTTTCTTTCTTTGTATAATGAATAGTATCATATAAATATCTCATTAAAGGTCTATCATCACCATCAACCATTCATAGAACTCGAACTAAAAGTTCACTCATACACATAATTATTATACATTCTTCCCAAAACAGAGAGTTTAGCACACTCTTAACAAACTTTTTTCCTTTGTTATCTTTAGCATAAACAGATGAGACCCATTCCCTAAATATCATTATAGCTCTTAACTCATCTTTATAAGCTAAAATGCTTTGCAATGCAATGAAATTGATAGCAAAATGAGTAGGAGTTGAATAAAGTATTTCTTTTTCTCCAGTGAACTTCCTTATCAAATACAATGGATAACAATGATTATAAATATACTTTGTGATACCAGAAACATGCTTAACAATAGAACAAACTGACTGCAATTTACCAACATCTTGGAGTATGAGGTTGATATAATAAGCAACACAAGGAGACTAAGATATTGAAGGAAATTCTTCCATCAATAACTTACTAGCAGCAACATAATTAGAAGCATTATCAGTCCCCACATGCACAATGTTTTCTACCTCAACATACAAAACAACCTCTTTAAATAATTGATGCAACAATCTAACAGTTTTTGAGACATCTAATACATCCATAAATTGAAAAAAAATGGTTCCTTTAGAACAATATACTAAGAAGTTAATTAAATTTTTTCTCTTTTGATCTGTCCATCCATCAATCATTAATGTGTAACCAGTCTTCTTTCAATCAGTCATTAATGTGTAACCAGTCTTCTTTCAAATCTCTTGATAACTGTCAACATAAATCTTCACTTTATCAACTGTTGTTGCCAAGTAATAACACATAACATGTAAGTTTGGTCCTTTATAACCAGGAACCATATTTGCTAGAGCGTCTATGGCATGTTGATGATACATAGAGTTAATAACATTAAATGACGTACATGCATCAATCATCCACTTCATTAAAGCAAGATCACATTGTTCAATTGCTTCCTTTCTTTACCAACAATTCTTGAGAGACTTTTGAGCATCAAGAGTTGTTCTCAGCATGAAATATGCCCCTAATGTTGTAGATTGCTTTTGCTTTCCATAAATTGCAGTCGATTGTTTTACGGCGGTGGTGCTTTGACTCCTTTTCTTTTTTCAACCTTTGGTGGTAACATATGTTTTTTAGTATTGACATCCTCATCATCATTATCTTCTAATTACTTAATCATCTTCTCTTTATGCTCCTTTTATTGTGCATTAAATGGATTGAAATATGCTTACATTTCTCTAACTCTTTTTTTTTTCAACATTTCCTTTAAAATTCAAAAGCATTTGATGTCGAACATGAGGAGGACATTGCAAAATTATTCAACTTCTCCTTTAACTCCAGCTAAATATTATTTAAATCGATTAATGCTATCACCTACAAATACTTTAACCAATATAAACATACTAATTTAATTTTATTACATCCAACACTAAGTTCATGAGCTTTTCTATAATGACCCCATGTCAAATTTGTTTTTCTTTTACTACCACTTGACATGGAAATTGAAGGTTGAGATGATTGGGCCATTGAAGGATTATTATTTGAAGTAATACCATCATGAGAAGATATTTTAAGGATCTATATTAAACAAGAAAAAAAAACTTACAATATAAAAAATAAAGTTACAGAACATGGGTCACTATGGACAAAAACAGAGCACAGAAAAATATATTCAATATTGCAAAAATATAGGAAACTAACAGAAGAAACATAAAACAACTCGCACAATGAGCAAAAATCCAAATGAATATATATGGGAAACAACCAAAAGATACAGAAAACACAAAACATAAAAATTCCTCATGCAACATTCCAATACATGACCGAAAATGAGATGATAGGAAAATCATCTACAAAATTAGCATTTAGGAGTGCGTGACAGTCAATCAACCAACAAAGAACTTATATCTCAGAACATACACACACAAAATAAAAAATAAAAAAACACAAAAACTATTTGGATTGCATAACAATAAGGCTTGGATTACTAAATTGGTCAGCTAACTCCTCTTTTTTGTCACGCACATCAAACAAACATGATATGCAGCTTACAAAGAAATAACTGAAATAAATCAAGAAAGATAAATCCTTTATATATAGTTATTGCTTCTCTAGTAACAATGAGGCAGAGGCTTTAGTAAGTTGCAGAAAAGAAAAGAATAGAAAAACATATATGTAGGTGTGAGAATAAGAAAGAATCGACGCCAGATCAATAATTATAAATTCAAAAAAAAAAACAAAAAATAAAGAAGAGAGAGTGAAAGGAGGAGAGTCGTGAAGAGAAACAAGTAACATCAGCTTCATCTAACTTTATTTGTAGATTTGAAACGATAATCAAGAGTTTTCTGCTCCTCTGCTCTTCTTCACGTGCAATTGAAATGATGTCGTTTTACGCGTGTGTACTAAGTCGTCTTGGTTCCTGGTCAACCGGGTTTTGTTGGCCCAAATTCTAGGCTGATTTTTACTTTGATTCCAGGTCCGAGTTGGGTTTTAAAACACTGTTAATTTGATTTTTTTTATAGTTTTAATATATTAATATATAAAATTTTAAAAAGTTATATTAATATATTTTTTATAAAATACTTTGAAAAAAACAATCTAATAATGGCAGACAGAATCTGAAAGCTGATTCCAAGCATGCCCTAACTTTAAAGTGGAAAGCACATGAGCCAAGGAAAGAAGGAAGTGTCCACAATGGCAACCTCTTCCTCCCCGCATCGAATCAGAAAGCTCCTCCTCCGTCCTCGTGACCTGTGAAATGATACCATATCCAAACTCCAAACCCATATCAGTCATTTCATTACCATAACCGTTCAGACCACACCCTGGAAAGTTTTTGTTTTTTTAAAGAAGCCTTAACTCATCGAAACAACGTGGACGCTCTCATGCCATTGCAGCACCTAAGAAAATTAGCTTCCACTCACTTTTAATGCCAGTTTAGAAATCACTATTTTGAATGTGGCTGTCACCATAAATTCTAATTGTTTATGGTCTGTTTAGAGTGTGATTAAAGTTTTAGTTTTTATAAGGAAATGTATAAAAATAATATCTTTTTTATTTTTTAAAAGTTATTTTTTAAATTAGTATATTAAAATAATTTAAAATATATTAAAAAATAATTTTTAACAAAAAAATTTAAAAACATGATTTTCATGGCATTCTAAACATTATATAAGTCTTTAAAGCTAATATCAACTATTATTTTAAATCACAACTACGAATTAAAAACAAAAAATCAAAGCTAATTCAAACGGTTTTCCGATAAGGAAAAAACAAAAACAAAAAACTCACAGAGGAAAGCAAAAGGTGTGTGTTTCTTTCTTTTCCTTTTCAAAGGCTTTGGATAGAACACAACTCAAACTCAAAAGCAATAAAGACAAAAAAGTAAAAGCAAAGTGAAAGACACAAAACTCTGTTTTCTTTCTTTTGGTTATAGATAGAAAGAAAGAAAGAAGGCATAAAGAGGTAGTTTTTAGAGAGTAAAAAGAAAAAAAATAATACCAAGTAAACTTTATTACGAGCTCTCTCTCTCTCTTTCTCTATTTTATATCTCTGCAACTCTCATCCTCTAATAAAAAAAATAAAAAAATTGAAAAACCCTTAAAGGGTTGGTGAGGGTTTCACGTGTTTTTTCGTTAAAAATCCAATCTTTCGGTCCACTTATAGTTCTATTTCGATCTCTGTCGAAAGGGTTTTCTCTAGTGATGCTGATAATGTGAGTTATCTTGATTAAGCCCTCTTTTCTTCTTCTTCTTCTTCTTGTGGATTCTTGGTTTTTTGACAGATATATTTGAAGTAGATAGTTAGAAGGAGAAATGGATAGATCAGTGATGACAGTGGGGCCGGGAATGGACGTGCCGATCATGCACGATGGAGACCGGTATGAGTTAGTGAGAGATATTGGGTCAGGGAATTTCGGGGTCGCCAGGTTGATGAGGGATAAACAGGCTGATGGACTTGTTGCTGTTAAGTATATCGAGAGAGGTGAGAAGGTTAGTACTTGTGTGCTTTTTTTGGTCGATTTTTTTTGCTTTTTTAAGAGATTTTTTTGGCTTGATTGAATTTGTCTTTAGTTTGAGCTGAATTGGGGGGCCGGGGTCTTAATTTAGTCAATATGGGGATAATAGTTGAGCAAAAACACAACCAATCTATCATGGCAGTATTTTGGACCATAGTTTAAAATTAAGCAAACCTGTATATTACCATGAATTTGTGGTGTGTGCATGGCTAGAGGTTCAGTAATTTTCCAGTTTAAGAAATATAGAGAAGCTGAAAATTAGTTTTCAAATGAAGCACCCTGTGAGTCTTGGAACCTCGGTTTCTTTAAATTGGCCATCCTTTTTTGGTTTGTGTTCTGACAACTAATGTAGAGCTATATCTATATTATTGATCCAGGAGTCAGCATTTCTGGGTGTAATACAGGCAACCTTGGTACCTCATGTGCAATAATTTAGCTATAGATAAATTAACCTTAATTTATTTGCTGTGTAACAGATAGATGAAAATGTGCGAAGGGAAATCATTAACCACAGGTCGCTTAGGCATCCCAACATCGTCAGATTCAAAGAGGTCTGTCAATTCCTTCTTATCATTTCTTTTCTTTTCAAAGAGTTACTTTTTATTCATTAACTCCTTGACACAACTATAGGTCATTTTAACCCCAACTCATTTGGCGATTGTAATGGAATATGCGTCTGGTGGAGAGCTCTTTGAGCGCATATGCAATTCTGGTCGCTTCAGCGAGGATGAGGTTCTTACCCTAGACATGGTATGTTTTAGCGCGCCTAATCTTTTTTAATGTACTCTGCCTTGAAATGCAGGCACGCTTTTTCTTTCAACAACTGATATCAGGAGTTAGCTACTGCCATACAATGGTTAGTAAATCATGTATTCATTTCTGCCTTTGCTTACTGTTCTTACTTTAGCAAAAAGTATGAGGGGTTTTGATGTTTTAATATGTTCCTTTGTGAAGCAAGTGTGCCATCGTGATTTGAAATTGGAGAATACTTTGTTGGATGGAAGCCCGGCTCCTCGTCTGAAGATTTGTGATTTTGGTTACTCTAAGGTAGAAGATTGCTAATTATTTACGCTTATATTGTTGAAACAAAATCCATTTGATTGGATGCCTATAGGATCATGGATGAATATTTGTGAAGTTTTTTCCTGTTCTGTGAACCGTGGATCTTATTGGAATCATTGTCCGCTCTTTATGTATGATATGTTAGCTCAATCATGGCAAATAGAAATTGATTTTATGTTTATTTGATGCCATTGTTTTAATCAATTGCTGATATACTTGTAAATTGTCATTTTGTGCCTTCAACAGTCATCAGTGCTGCACTCTCAACCAAAATCTACTGTTGGAACACCTGCTTATATTGCTCCTGAAGTGTTACTTAAGAAGGAATATGATGGCAAGGTACTATTACTGCTTATTTACTTGTTTCAACTTATATGAGCTAGCAGATGCTTATTTTCTTGATTCAACATATATGAGCTAACAGAGTGAAATTTTTATAAATAACATGGATAATCTCTGTTGTTCATCTTTCATTTGTTATCTTTTTGGGTTTTCCCTGCCTGAATCTTGTAGGTGTAAGGTAGGAGATTACAGAAATTAGTCACTTTCATCAATGGAAACCAATGTCTTGCAATAACTTATTTGTAGATTATGCTTGATAAATATACGGACCATTTATGCTGTCTGGATGCAGCAGTTGCCTTCATCTGTGTTTGGTATTTAGATGGCTTTTTCAGAACAACCCACAACAGTTCTGAACACGCATGAGAAGCAACCTCAATTCCAAACACACACAAACCAGGATCTCATAAACTAGTCTTGTAATAACACTGGAGCAAGGATGTCAATTATGCACTGCAAATGTGTATGTTAGACCCCAATATCATACTGATCTCTTTCTGTTAATTCTATCTTCCAGATTGCAGACGTATGGTCTTGTGGAGTAACTTTATATGTTATGTTGGTTGGAGCTTACCCTTTTGAGGATCCTGATGAACCCAAGAATTTTCGCAAGACAATCCATGTAATGCATCATCTCTCTTCTTCGCTGAGCGTGGGAGTTTTCTGAGATCCTTTACCAACATATTTTGTTGTTTCTTGCAGCGAATTTTGAATGTCCAGTATTCAATCCCTGACTATGTTCATATATCTCCTGAATGCCAGCATCTAATCTCGAGAATATTTGTAGCTGATCCTGCAAAGGTAGATATTGTTAGCATTTTTACAATCATTACCAGTTTTCCTTCTCAAAAACAGTATTTTGATTGTTTATTACTCTTCACTGTCATGGACTTTCTTTCCTCAGGCTCATTATTTTACCTCGTCAATGTGTTGTCCCATCTCCTTGACCCCCCCAACCCCTCTCCTCTTGGCTCTATTATTGACTATTTGTTGGTAAAGATTCTAACCTGAATACCTTTTTGCAACAGAGGATAACCATTCCCGAGATCAGGAATCATGACTGGTTTCTAAAGAATTTCCCAGCAGATCTCATGGTGGAAAGTAATATGAATAACCAGTTTGAAGAACCTGATCAACCGATGCAGAGCATTGATGAGATAATGCAAATAATAACCGAAGCCACCATACCTGCACCTGGCACCCCTAGTCTCAACCAATATTTGACTGGCAGCTTGGACATTGATGATGAAATGGAGGATGACCTAGATAGTGATCCTGAGCTTGACCTTGATAGCAGTGGGGAGATAGTATATGCAATGTGAATACCTACCAATGAAGGATTATCTAGAATAATGCCTTACTGGTTGGCTGTGGAAGTGAAAGTGACTGTGAAATAGCGGGGGGTAAAGTTTCTATATGGTGGAGGATTTGAGGGTTAGGAATTTGTAATATCTGCTGAAAAAATCCCATTTGCATGCAGGTGTCCCTTTATGTTAGCACCTTCTGTTCTTCTGTGATGTGTTCTCACACCTTCAACTGGCATATAATATACTGTCCGTGTACTCTTTGTAAAACTTTAGTGTAATAAAGGTTTACATCTTATCTTGAATCATATTGCTTTTCCTTGTTTCTCCAATAATTTGCACTCCCGGAACTTTTTGTTTGCTGGAATATTTAGGGCGTGGACAGGCCCTTCGACAAAAGGGTTTGGTTGTCATTGGTGCTTCAGCTGGCTACGGGAGAGCATTACGTTCTCTCTTATAAAGAGTGTGTCATATGAAACTTCGACATCTCGACATCTCTAACATAATTTATTGGCAAAGCTGTTCATTAGTAAAGCATCGTAGCCTCCACAGCCATTTTGGGGTATGGAAGCAAGCAGCAAAGTTCGGATGATTTGGTTCGAATCATTACACAATAATGGAAGATATCTAAACGCCTCATTGTGAACGAAGACTTTGCCGGGGCGAGATAAGGAAAAATGGTTCATGTTGGTGGACACCGTAGGGGAAACAAACTGATGATTAGAACTTCTACTGGTTTAGCTTGAGGTAGCATCCCTATACCTTGAGGGTAATAATAATAGGGATGACAGTGGATTGAGGTTTTAGTATTTTCATATTTTATCCATTACTTGTTAAGACAAGGAATTTAGATGCTCAACTTTATTCATTGAACTTTGAATATATATATATATATTGAAAAAAATAATTAGAAAAAATCCATCAATTCAGGTAAGTTTGGATAGTATCCAGTACATTCGAATTAAAATTTATCATTCCCTTAGCAACGAAACTACTCTGAGAGAGGAGCTTCGGTTACGAGCATTATTTATATTAACAAATAAGTGCGTGAGCAAGCAAGATCGTCTCAAGTCTGGGTGGTGTAGTTGGTTATCACGCTAGTCTCACACACTAGAGGTCCCCGGTTCGAACCCGGGCTCAGACATTTTTCTGTATCTTTTGATTCTTTTCTTAGTTTAAAAAACTAAAAGACAGATTGAACCCGACGTGAATCGAACACGCAACCTTCTGATCTGGAGTCAGACGCGCTACCATTGCGCCACGGATCCACTGCTGTTGTGTATGTCCCAATATTTATAATTTGTTTTTAGTAACATCTATCAAAATCAGAGACAACCAGTTTTTTATTATTAACATGTTGTTAAAATCAAAGTAACTGTTGTCATTATGATGCAAAGGATTATCTTGAACCTTCATGTTTCTTCAACATAAGAAGGTTGTAATAAAGCAGGATTAAGGCGCTTTTCACCTAATTTTGTTCCCATGAGGTCAAAAGATTTACGAATTGATTGATTGGTTTGTTTTAATAGTTAAACTATCTTTGATTACCTCTCACGTATTCAAGGATGAATCCAAGACCGTTGATGTGGTCTGATCAACTTTCAAGATGTCGAGCTACTTTCTGTCTTTAGAGGGTTAAAGACATCATAAGCAGAAGACCATGCCTTGTGGTGTTTCAAGCCTCCATATACTTTATAATAGTAAAACACACCCAATTAAAAGACAAAAGGAGAGTAGAAGAGCAGTAGACGGTTCATGCATGCATCACTCTTAACAGCACAAGTAGCCAACATATATTTGACAAATATCTAACAAAAACTCTAGATTAGAAGAACTTTGAAAGTTCATACATTCACTAGCAAAAATATACGTACGGACAATAGAAATGATTAAAAAGTTTGCACAACAAGTTTATAATTATCTCTTTACTAAAATCTCCAACATTGTTGATCCTGCTGACTTGGAGGATCATTCATTCATCATGAAAATGCGAACAACAGAGTCCTCCATAACACTCCATTTGCAAAGTGTGGAATAAATATACGCCCCCAGTATGGATAATAAGGACCTGGCAATTTGATCAATGTGAAGACTATTGCAGTGACAATCAGATGCCATGGAACTTCAGCATCCTGTCAATTTATTCAGATGACAAATTAGATGAGAAAAGCATTCGTTTGCTTCGCTTTGTCCACAAACAAACAGATCAAACCTCGTAACTCACAAAAAAGAAAACAATTGCTCAAAGGTGCTCGGAAGTAGCATAAAAAAAGGCTGATTGGCAAAAGGAGAATTCAAACAGAAAACATGCAAAGTTTCTTTTGAACACACATATAAAAGAGAGGGAGAATAATGATAATCAGAGAGCCTATCGTGGTCAATCTCATTGGTCCTCTTTTCGGGTTAGGTTATGCATTCTAGGTGGATTGATCCTTGAGAGGGAACTAACTGATCCTTATGCATCTCCATTCATAATTCAATATCTGTTTCACACCATGGATTATCGGGGGGGTGGGGGCAGATGTGCTACTTGATGTGGATAATCACTTTCCTAAGTGGTAAAGTAACACTTGATAAAACAGTTCTACCTTGAGAAGCGGAGATAGTTCTAAGGCAGTTTCCTTTACGACCCCGGCAACAATGATGCCAATGAGTAGTGGAATTGGGACAAGGAGCAGCTTCTTCTGATGTGCGCAATATGACATCTCACTAAGGGAGGAAACCGCAAGTAAAGGCACACACAAATATTTGACAACCATCACAAACAGGTCAAGGATGAGCTGAATGAAGTTCTCCAATGCTCTTTTCAAGGGGAAGCTCTTGACTGGTTCAGGAGAACGGTCCCAGATTTTTCTTGCTTTATTCATTAGATGCTCAAAATTTATCTTCTCAGGATCACCAGACTGTCCAGCGGCCATGTTTATTGCACAAGAGATGTTGAGCCGAGTCTTCTGGAAGACCCCACTTAGTTTAACACTCAGATGACTGCTACCAGCTTTGAGATAGTGTGGTGACCTCTGCTAGAAATAAAATATGCTCAACAAGAGTAATAAATATGATGTGGACAGGATCATAATTTATCTGTTTCTTAAGTAATCACAGGGCATCCGTCTATTCTATAAAATCAGGATGCTAATGCTTCAGCAAAATACAAACACCATATTAACAAAAATGGAACAGCAATCTAGTTACATATCCCCCATCAGAGTATCCAGTTTCCCATTTAAAACACAATATCGTCGACATGACAGCATTTTCCCCTATGCCAAGATTCTTCCCCGACAGGGAAATGGTTATGAATTAAAGAAAGATAAAAAGATGAACAACGAAATGAAACAGGTCAAATTGATGTATGGAAAAAGATTTTCCTAAATAATCAAAATACAAAATTAACTGTCTGCTACACCAATAATCGTTACTCTTGCAATAAATACTAACAAAGTGAGATTTGAAATTCAAAAAAAAAAAAAAACAGAGACTACGTCTTGTCAAGTGCCCATGTTTCAAAAGTATGAGGAAAACAGTGACCCAGTTCAACCTTCTTAATCGAATAAGCGATGAGCACTGAAAACTGATACGAATTCAAAGGCCAATATGTCATTACAGCTCAATCAAAAGCTGCAGTTACTTCTTTCTAGGCAGAAAGGCTGGAGCAAGTTAGCCAGAAAAAAAACCCAAAACCTAAAATGATGACAGAAAATTCATTCCTTAAACAACCATTTTTGGGTTATCCTAGTCCCTTTTCTTTTCCCACAAAGAACGCACGAGGACAAACCATTGCTTTGCAGATTTGAAAAGAATTAGTTTTGGATCATAAACCCAACAGATATTTACTAGGAAATAAAAAAAACGAACACCCTCATAATCAATACAAAACCCCACACGAACATCAAACCCATATTTATCTCAATCAACCAATCAAGCTCTCTCTAATCCGCTACAAGAACCATTATTTAGCTCAAGATTTAAAGAACCATTTCCTAAACTATCTTCTTCTATCAAGAGAAAACATCCACAAAGCATATAAACCCTCAAAAAACACACAGGTAAAAGTAATACAAAAAAAAAAACTGAAAGAAACAAATTTCTTACCTCAGGTCCTTGAGTGGAAGGAGAGTGAAGTCGAAGAGCAGTTTTAGTTGTTGTGGTTCGGAGATGAGAGGAGGCAGATAACAGATGAGAAGGATATGTAATTGTTGCCGTCATTTTTTGAGAATCTTTAACAGGGCCCTAATTGATGTTTATGCGCTAAAGTCTCATTCTTGATTCGAAGAAAGTTAGGTTTTTGAGACCCTCTAAAGGTTTTTGGGAGTTCACGGTGGAAAAGGTTGTTGCAGGTTGACAGGGGTTTAAGGAGCAGGAGCCGTTATCCAGTACCGCTGCGTTTTGGATGATAAATAATAACACCATGATGCTCGGGAAACACAACTTAACTTTGGATGATAAATATTACCATTCTTTACGATTACTGAACTTTTTAAGGATTTTTTTATTCCAAAGAATAATAAAAAAAATAGATTAAATGTGAAGGAATAAATAGTGAGATAAATAGTTTACATTTTTATTATATATTAAATCATTCAATTGTTTCCAATCCCTTTAATTAATATTTTCTCTTAACGCTTCACAAAGCATGAGGATTGGACTCGGATCTCTTATTCATGGAAAACGGGACCGTGCTTGTCGTCTACCATAAACTTACACAAACAAAATCCTGAAATCAGGTTCGAATCGTCTCTGATCGGGCCTTTGGTCAGAAAAGTTTCAAATTCTTATTGTAAACGAAAATTACAACACGAAAATCTGACAAGTTACAATATTGGAACCAGCACAGCCTGGACAATTAGACCTCCACTGAATCGGCTATCTCATCATCTAACTGCACCTATGATTTCTTGACGACATCTTATTAGTTATTGAGCTGATAGTGCGTGTTCCTCTTGAGCTCTTCTAGAGTGTAGAGACTCCTCAAAGACAAAAATTTCACTCCACCCTAACCTGCAAAAGCTAGAGAAAATAGTTCAAATCAGACTGAGGTAGATCGACAGATGATTCTAAAGTCACATGTCATCCTTATGTGCATTAACAATTAGAAATTCAATCTACACTCTTGAAAATAATGGAATCAGCGTGAAAGAAAAGGTTGAAATGGACAAAGCACGTTAAAAGGAATCAACCAGACATGAACATCGAGTTATATTGCGCATTTAAAGATACATGATCCTAGATATTAGTATACCATAATAATGCTGTCAACCAAATAATAAAGGAAACAATAGAAAGAAATCCCTACAATGCTGCGATGCACAACAAAAACCACCTATTTCATCTGCAAAAAGTGATGAAGCTATCCACAAGAACAAATGGGGGAGGCCAGGATGTGAGAGCAGAAATGATAGTCTATGAATTAAATCAGAGAGAAGCCTATTTTGAAAAACATGGATTAGAGCATCCAAAAAGCCTATTCCCAGTAGAGGATGAATTGCTTACATGTTCAGTCAAAGAAAAGTAAAAACATCTCAAGGAAACAATGGCAGGTACCCAAGCCCTGTGTTTTCTGGAAATCCCATCATTATATTTAAATTTTGTAGAGCTTGACCAGAAGCCCCCTTCACAAGATTATCAATCTGCACCAAGGTTTTAGAAGTTAAACCCGTCAGAAGGGAAGAAAACAGCGGTACATGAAAAGATGGATAAAGTCAAGTGCAATGGCAAAGGAGATGATACATACAACTGATATGATTATTGCTCTGCCAGGAATTCGGTCAGGAAATACATTTATATAACAATAATTAGAGCCTCGAACATCATGAGTGCGAGGAACAGCGTCTTTTTCCAATAATCTTACAAATTCTTCATCCTGCAATAAAAGTTAAAGAAAGAATGAATGACTAAAATGTGACAAAGGGAAGCAGAAACCAGATCGTGGCTGGACTACTAACTTCCATCTTATATGACTCAAGTATTGACACAGTTTTACCATTAAAGGAATGTGCGTTGCACATTCCTTAATCAAATTTCAGGTCAAAGCATTGATTGTATTCCAAGTGATATCATTGATTTGTAAAGTCTCATAGTACATAAAGTAGAAAAAGTGTGTAACTAATCACAATATTTATAAAATATATATACCTGGTAAGAAACTTTCAATTGCTGGTACAAATTGTCGGCTGTCACTCCTGAAGCCATTTCCACATAGATAGTTGATTGCATGCCACGGGTCTAAAGAACAGAAAAATAAACAATGTTGGACTGGATTCTTTTGTAAGCAAAGATTACTTTAATACACTTGGGCAATTGTTACCATTGGCATTAAGTGTGGAGTAAAACTGATGGTTACTTTAGAATGCGCAGCATCGGATAGCCCCTGTTCAATTTCTGGAACTGCAATTCAAAACCAGAATCTATATTATTGCCTTATGATACAACCCAACTCTAACAAGTGAAATTCATATCTTTTGCTTCATGGTCAAGGCAATAATTTGCAAGAAGAAGGGATCAAGATCCAATTTCTGAGATTGATATTCACCATGACGATGCCTTGTAACACCATAAGACATGATGCCTTCAGTTAATTCAGTGTACAAATTTGCCACCTTAGCACCACGTCCTGCACAATTTCCAGACACCGAAGAAATTGATGCAAGTAGAAATTGAAACATATTACTGCTACAGACAAGCATCGAGATATGAAAAAATGCTGTGAATTTTTTACCTGCTCCACTCACACCAGATTTTGCATCAACGATAATATTCTTATGTTCAATGAGATTGGCCTGAATATTCAGAACATGATGAGGTTCAGGGTGTGCTCTAATTTAAGAAACTAGCTACCTTGAAACTAATTGTAAAGCAACAATTGATCTTCTGCTGGGCATGGAACTAATCAGTCATGCAGGATGAAATGAAATTAAACTGCAACAGACACATACCTTTATCAAGGGAACTAAAGGAAGCTGAATCGACGTTGGATAACAACCAGGATTAGCAACAAGATGTGCGTTTTTTATTTCCTCTCTCAAAATTTCAGTCAAACCATAAACAGCTTCTTCCTAAATCCATCAAGAGAACACATTAATGTAAGGGAAAAAAATAAACATAACCTTCCACAAAAGATAATTGAAATATAAGCACAGAAAACAGCTAAAACGAGGCTAGGTTGATGTTTTGAGAAAGGAGAAAGATTCCAGGAACTTCACCTGCAAATCAGGTGCTCTGTGTGGCTGGCCATACCATTCTTCATACTCAGAAACATTTCGTAATCGGAAGTCCTAAATGAATAACAAGATAATACATGATATTACCGCATTATAAATTTTCAAAATACAGCATGACGCCTTAAACATGATAATATACAAAAACATAAACTGATAAGTTTGCATTCAAAGCATACCGCTGAAAGATCAACAATCTTTAATCCCTTGGGAAGACCTTTTATGATTTCCTGGATAAAAAGAGCACATGGATCAAATACTCAGTAAATGAAATTCCCTATGCTGAAGGTAAACTACATTAAGCTTTCAAATTAATTGCTGAATTTTTTAAAATATGTTATATGAAATAAATAAAAAATGTACCTGTGTGGTTCCATGAGGCAAGCAACAGAATACAGCATCAACATCAGAAAAATCTGCATCGCTGGTAGAAACCAAAACTGGCAAATCCTGCAAATCAAAACAGATTCAATTCAAGCATCGCTTGCAAAAGAGAAAGCTGACAGTATACTATTTCCAAACATTTTTCCCCTTTTGGTGAGACTCAATGGTCAACTCTAGCAGTATCAAACAATAGATTCAGTTTCACCATAAAGAGAGCTGCACAGGAACACCTTGCTCAACTAATACGTAAACATTGATAAAAATCCCATCAAAACCTTACCTAATACTCAATAGTATATGATGATACCTTTTGTGTGATGAAATGAGGAAATACAGAATCCATCGACTTCCCAGCATTTCTATCAGCAGTCATCACAGTAATACCAAAGTATGGATGATTTGCAAGAAGTCTAATAATCTGCCACCAAAAAAATAGTAACTTCACTCCTCTCTCAATAATTGAATAACAGTGCCCGCAAAAGCAACAAAACCCACAAACCTCTGCACCAGTATAGCCACTGGCACCAAGAAGAGCAACACGAACTTCTTTCTCCTGCTTAGCATTTGAAATCTGCAATCTTTTTGCGGACAAAGAAGTAGACCCACCAACATGTAGCTTGCAATTTCCATTTTTACTCTTCAAGCTTGAAACTTTCACTTCACTACCCTGAATTCATTAAAAAAAAAATATAGCTCGAAATACAGTCTTTACTAATTTTCAACAAGCAAACGCCTCTCTTTCTATTAAACATTCGATGAAATTCTAACCTTCAAGAAGCAGGTAGAACTGAAAGTTGCACTGCTCATTATTTAATTTCTGAATGAAATTCTACAAACACAATTTGGCATTATAAGAGAATGATATTTATAGAGATACAAAGAATAGAAATGGGTTTTTTTTTACCTTCAAGAATTGGATGCTTTGACGACGGGAAATTTGAGGTTGCTTTTGGAAAACTGGTTTATTTTTTATCAGAAAGGAACCAAATATGCCAAAAAAACCCTAGAGACAACAGGAACAAAAATGGAAAAAGGGTTTTTTAAAAGTAATATAATTTAATTAATTAAAAAAACAGAATACAATTAATAATTACCCACCTTGAAATTATGTTGCTCCTTGTCTAGGGTCAGAATTGGCTAGCAGGTGACTCCAGGAAGGCTCTTTTACTTCTATACATGGCATTATGCAATCACTTATCACACAGGAGACCATGTTCCCATACAATCAGCCCAAAGTAGGTCCTGTTGCTATGGTATGAATCAGTGTTTTAAAACCCGGTCCGGTTTGGTGGGTCGACCCCAGACCTTGCCGACTTGAGTCTAGGACCAGTCTGGGTGGAGGCAAAAACCCGCTCAAAAATTGGCCCAGGAGGAACCCAGTCAACCCGAGACCCGGTCTACTTGGTCAAACCCGGGTGAGACTCGATCAATTTTTTTTATTTTGACTGTTATTAAATGATGTTGGTTTTTACCTTCTAAAATACCAAAACATTGAAGACTGAAGAGTGAATAAGGACGAAACAACATTAGTAACCTAATTAATGATATTCTTTGAAACCTAGTAGAGGAACAGAGGACATCTGACCATTGATCGTTGTTGTTTCTCTGTGAAAAAGGTTTGAATCTCCTTTTTTGATTCTCTGTTTTCTTTATTCTTGGTTGTTTTCTCATTTCTAGCATCAATTTCAATTTCAGAACTCTCAACTCTGTTGCCCTCGAGCCTAATCACTGCCATCGATTCATTGTTCGTTGATTCATTCATAGCCCAGTCACCTCAGATATATTCCTCTAGCTCGATTTTTGTCTTTTCTTCTGCCAATCAACTCAATTTCTCTAGCCTAATTTCAACTTCTGCCAAAAAAAATGAGAACTTTGTTGTTTGCATGATGAACTCTAAAATATTGTTACCATGATTCTTTTGATGAGCTTTAGCCCGATTCATTGTTCGTTGATTCTTTTGATGCTATTACGGTGTTACCATGATTCGACAATGAAAAAACATTGTGTGGAGGTGTTTATAGATTGTAAGGTTTAGCTTACAATTTGGAAATATATGTAAATCTTTTCCTCTTTCTTTTTTTAAGATTTTGAATCTCTTAAGTGTTTCTTTATAGTAAGTGTTTGTTTGCGAAGATTGCAAGCAAGATTATGAATACGGATTGAAAATTTAAATTATGACTGCTTAATATTTATGACTATTTTATGAATAAGATTATAATTGTTTTATGTCACTTTTTATATGTTTTTGTGCATATTTTAATATTATGGGATCAGAGAGTGAGATATTTTTACTTGCTATGACTTTGTATTGTATGGAATTGGATTGTTAGTTTGTTACAATTGTATTGAGTTATACGCCAAAAAATGTTGCTAGTTAATTTTTTTTGCCTAATCAAATTTACAGTAGTGAATTATAGCAGTGAATTTTTTTCCAATGTATTGTGTTGAATCGATATTGTGTCTATTGCATTTTTCATTCTTTTACATTGAATGAAAACCATGGGGCTGTCAATGTTAATTTCCTAGAGCATCAACTGAGTAGTCTTTTTCTGTTATATGTGATTAACAATGAGGTTGTCATTGTTAATCCAATGAATGGATTGCAAAGTGAGTTGGTTTGAAATTATATTCTCTCTTATAAATTATGTCAAGTCTTAAAATGTCTTCATATGATGGTAGTACTCCAAGTAGTGATCCTTCAACGACCCAATCATCTCAACCTTCAATTTCCATGTCAAGTGGTAGTAGAGGAAGAACAAATTTAGCATGGGGTCATTATAGAGAAGCTCATGAACTTAGTGTTGGATGTAAAAAAAGCTAAATTAGTTTGTTTATATTGTGCTAAAGTATTTGTGGGTAGTGGTATTGATCGATTTAAGCAACATTTAGCTGGAGTTAAAGGAGAACTTGAATAATATTACAAATGTCCTCTTGATGATCCACATCAAATGGTTTTGAATCTTAAAGGGAATGCTGAAATAAAAGAAAAAAAAAAGGGATAGAAAAATACAAGCAGATTTCAATCTATTTAATACACAATAAAAATGGTTTTGAATCTTAAAGGGAATGCTGAAACAAAAGAAAAAAAAAAGAGATAAAAAAATGCAAGCAGATTTCAATCCATTTAATACACAATAAAAGGAGAATGAAGAGATGATGATTGGGCACTTAGAAGGTGATGATGATGAGGAGGATGTCAATACTAAAAAACATCTGTTACTATCGAAGATTGCAAAAAAAAAAAAAAAGATTCAAAGCACTAGTAGTATAAAACAATCGACTACAAGTTATGAGAAGCATAAGAAATCTCTAAAATTAGGGACATATTTCATGCAGAGAACAACTCCTGATGTTCAAAAGTCTCTTCAAAATTGTTGGCAACGAAAGGAAGCAGTTGAACGGTGTGATCTTGCTTTAGTGAAGTAGATGATTGATGCAGGTATGCCATTTAATGTTATTAATTCTATGTATTATCAGCATGCCATAGATACTATAACAACCATGGGTCCTGGCCAAACTTGCATATTATTCGTGGTTATTACTTGGCAAAAATGGTTAATGAAGTCAAGATTTATGTTGAGACTTATCGAGAGATTTTCTTTTGGTTGCACATTAATGGTTGATGGATGGACAGATCAGAAGAGGAGGACTTTAATTAACTTCTTAGTATATTGTCCTAAAGGAATAGTTTTTTTAAAAATCATGGATGTATCAGATGTCTCAAAGACTGCTAGATTGTTGTATCAGTTGTTTAGAAAGGTTCTTTTCTATGTTGGGGTAGAAAACATTGTGCATATGATGATTGATAATGCTACAAATTATGTTGTTGTCGACGAGTTATTGATGGAAGAATTATTTCCTTCAATATTTTGGTCTTTTTGTATTGCTCATTGCATCAACCTCATACTCTAGGATATTGGTAAATTGCAGTTAGTTTGTTATGTTGTTGAGCATGCTTCTGGTATCACAAAATATATTTATAATCATTGTTGTCCATTATATTTGATGAGGAAGTTCATTGAAGGAAAAGAAATACTTCGTTCAACTCCAACTCGTTTTGCTACCAATTTTATTGTATTGTAAAGCATTTTTGCTTATAAAGATGAGTTGAGAGCTATGATGACATCTAGGGAATGGATCTCATCTATTTATGCTAAAGATAGAAAGTAAAAAAGTTTGGTAAGAGTGTATTAGACTCTCTGTTTTAGGAATAATGTGCAATAATTGTGCGAATGAGTGAGCTTTTAATTCAAGTTCTACGAATGGTTGATAGTGATGATAGACCTTCAACGAGATATTTGTATGATGCTATTTATCATGCAAAAGAAGAAATGGTGAGGAGATTTCAAGAGAAAGGCTTGAGTGAAGACTTTCATAGATATTATCAATAATCAGTAGGATTGATAATTTTATAGAAATCTTTATGTAGCAGCATTTTGGTTGAATCCTCGATTTCAATATAATCCAAATATAATGGATAAACATTTGAGCACCATTTCTGGACTTCTAGATATTCTGGAGAAGTATGCACATGGAAATCTACAATTGCAAAGTAAAATTACAAGTGAGATGAAGTTATTTAGGAATGTTGAACATGACTTTGGTTGAGTGTCCGCAATAAATAATCACACTCTTATGCCTCTAGGTATATAATTTTTATATTTAAAAATATTATTTGACATGGTCTTACACTTTTACTTATTATTTTTTTGTATAGATGAATAGTGGATGACATAGAAAACCAGCACTCCAAATCTACAATAGTTGGCTATACGAGTGTTAAGTCAAACTTGTAGTTCTTTAGGATATGAGAGAAATTGGAGTATGTTTGAACATATTCATTCCAAGAAGAAAAATAGATTGGAGCACCAAAGGCTTAATGACCTTCTTTACGTCCATTGCAATCTAAGATTGAAACAAAAGTATTTTTCTTTTCTCTAATTATTTAAATATTATTTTATCTTGTTTAGTAGCATTATTAATACTTATATTACGTTTAAAGGACAAAATTATGATCCAATTAATGTTGAGACAATTTTTGACATT